AGAGAGAGAGAGAGAGAGAGAGAGAGAGAGAGAGAGAGAGAGAGAGAGAGAGAGAACACACTCGACAGGTTTACCAACTCGAGACGAATTCTAATATTATTTCAATAATTATAAAAATATCCAACGAAAATTATTTGACACCTGTAGGTGATGAGAAAAAAATCGATCTGATAAATAAAATCAATATTCAAAAAATGTTCAAATGGACACTTCAACACCATGGAAGCTGTGTTGGATTTTCTTCATTTGAAAATTGGAAAATTTCGTGCTCAGTGATTGAATTTGGGCTCGAGAACAATAAAACTCCCATTCCGTTTCACCCCCCCCCCCTCCCCCGGCGATCTACACACGAAACACCTTAAGTGGGTCATACCAAGGGATTGGGTTTAATTAATTACCGGTTAGTGATAAAAATGGTTCAATCTTTTTTAATCAATCAATCAATCAGGCAGTAATGAAAGTGGGTTGAATAAATTTTCTTCGCGGACAGGTCAGGATCATTATATCAAAAATGGACATAATCCAATGAGCGAGACCGACGTATTTGGCAGCAGGCGACATTGACATAAAACTAAAAGAGCCCCTTAATTATGACGACCGAGGTCGGCTGAATAAATCCCCTGAAAACTCATTCTCGCAAAAGAAGAAAAGACAAATGAAAATAAATCAAGACGCATCCACCTGCGCGGGAAGTCGACGATCCCTCGAGACCGGAAGTGACTACTCTTCGGAGCGCCTCGACGCACACTAAGGCTCACGTTTAACGGGAGCAAACTCCCGGAAACGAAAAGTCACTTGAATAACTGCTTAAAGACTCTAACTAGACTAATATAATTTTATTCGGAAACCTGATCGCCTGTCGGAGTCACCGTTGCACGGCTCATCGCCTAAGCTCGTGACCGCTTAAGTGGTTGACAGTCTCGTCTCACGTTTGAGGAAATTGGAAGTCAATGGATTTCTGGAGTTTGTAGGCGGTGATTGATGGCACTTCAGTAATTTTCAAGTTATCCGACGGGTTCACCTTTATATCATGAACGAGTGACGAGGGAAAATATCCAATTGTAAAAACAATGAGAGTGACGGAATTTATGTAATTCATGGGAAAAAATATTCTTGAATCAAGAATATTATTGTTTAATAATGTTCCAAGCTCAATTGAGAATTTTATGAAGACAAGCAAGATGAGAATTTAGCGTTAAACTAAAGCATAAGTGCTGAAATATTTTGAAATTGAAAAAATAATGTGCAGGTTATTTTTGTAAATAACTCATCAATGCAGAAAAAAAGAGGATTTTGTAATTCTCATTTCAAGATTTTTCTTTGTCAACTCAGGATTACATGGAAAATATTTTTAATTCAAGAATAATAGCATTTTTGATGCATAAATTTCCGGGAGATATAATCAATCTTCATTCAAGCATATTTAAAATTGAGTAAATAATTTCACATTCTCAATAAAAAAAATAGCACATTCCTGATTGACGAATATTTCTTTTCATGAATGAACACAAGGAAGAGGAATAATACCTCTTCAATTACATAAGCAAAGTAAAATTGCGCAATTCGATGAATTACATACCCATATCGAATGACGGTTTTGTGACGCGGTGGATAGAGATTTTCATCCAGTGTCAATTTCCCAACCTTATCCCTCATCCAATCCGATTTGAAAATACTAGACATTTTCTAATTCATTAATACGTGGGTTTTGTTTACGAGAAATGAATTAAATTCTACCGCCCACGCGGAAATCCGAGAAAAATAAAGAGAACTGATGCTGTAGTATGCAGAAGCCAGTGCAGAATATATCACTGTGAGGATACGGAACGTCAAAAGCAACCAGTCTGCCTGGTATCGGCAAAAAGACTGCGCAAAAAGCAGCGAGTAATGGGACATTGAAAAATCAAGTGGGGAAAACTGACGTGAATACGACCACGTATACATCAAGTTTTTACGTGCTCTATTAGGAACAACACTGATGCGACTGGAGTGATTACACTTTTCAGCTTTGTTGATCTATTCTAAACAGTTTAGGTGGTATAAACACAGGGTCTGACGTAATGCAACTCAACTGATTCCCATATTTGTAGAAAATCATAAGGATTTATGACTTCATAAAAATATATTGAAAAAAAGATGGATGATGGCAGAATTCTATAAATAAATAAATGGAGTAAGTGGAGGAGGATTTATGCACCCAAGAGTTTGCTTACGTTTGGAAAAAATTCAGATATGATTTTCAGTTCTATTAATACGTGACGAAAATTCTCTACTTTGAAGATGGATGAGTCATATAAAATGGACAGTTTTGAGCTTTTTGCGATGTTGATAAATCATTGCATTCCTGAGGAACGGGATGATTTTTTTTAGCTCAATTGATGAATTGGTATTAAATATCTGAAAATACCCAAGTGCGTCGAATTTTTTTCTCTATAAAATTCTTTTGGACATGTGTAATCAAGTCGCAAAGCTCCCATTCAATTGTGCACCTGATTTCCGAGTATTCGCAGTAATTTCATTCAAAGATGCCATGATTTTTTTTTCATTATTCAGCACAATACCAGTCGGTTTATACAGCTGATGTAATGATTTGAACTTCATTTTGGTTTTCAATCATTAGAAAATAATTTAAAAATTGTAAAAATTTAGCGGTCTATTTTTGAGGAAGATTCGTTAAGAAATTAAGGAGTTGCTGCGAGTGAAAATTAAGGCCTCCGGATACGTGTCTCGAAAATTTTTATCAAGTGACAGTTTTACTAAAATTTCAAGAAATTTCGTAATCGAAAATTGACAATTTGATTAAAAAATCAATGGATACTTTCAACTTTAGTCCCATTATTGTATAAAAGTCGATAGAAATCAGCAAAATTCTGGTAAATATCTTCTTGAACCTCAATCAATTCAACGTAATTTAATTTAGAATTCAAGTATGTTGAGATAACTTTTCACCTTCCTGCAGCTTACAAATTTTGAATTTCATTGAATTTTCGTATGTAATACTACAAGAGCTTCAGAGTTATCAGGTATTTCCCGATAGATTCGTTGCAAACAAACGAAGGAGTTACGTGTTTCCTGAAAAACTCGACGAGATTCTATTGGCTAAAATTTGGATGGGAAAAATTCTCAGTGAAATTTCCTCTCCTTTTTTCGAATTCAATGTCGTCTTCTAGAAAATTGCTACCAAACTGTCCATGAAATTTCAAAAATTTTTCAACACTACCTCTAAAAAAATCAAAAGCGTCCAGTTCTCTAAGAAATCCCGAACGTATTCCTCAGTTGTTTTTGGTTCACGAAGTGCAAACATTCGACGTAGTTTGCGAACAAAGGGACATTCGATTAAGGGGAGCAATACCCCACCGAGTCAGAAAATTGATCGCACTCGGGGGGTGGCCCACGTCCGAGATGGTCCCCATACTCCGTCTCGAAACTCAACCCAGAAAACCACCAGTACCCTAGTCTACGCAGTTTCATGACTACTACCACGTGTTCACCCCTCAGTTTGAGCCTCGGATAAAGAAAATTCGCCGGCCAGGGTAACCCCCCAAAACCCTAGTAATCCAAGTCTAGAATTCAACAGCCGATGATGGCACATGTGAAAACTACGAAATGAGAGGGCAGAAGAGATATTACTAAGGATGGGCAATATTTGTCGATCAATCGCAAACATCGATGTTTTTGACTAATACGCTAACCAAATTTTTCATTTTTTTATTGAATAATAATGTTGAATGATTGAGAATAAAAACAAATAATTTATCTGCAATCAGAAGTAATTATTTTCTAGTTTGTACGTTATAAATGAGAAGTGAACAAATCCCAATGTCTATTGTTTTTTAGTCTATCGGCTACAACCGTTATCAATAAAAATATAGGGGAGGGTGGGGCAAAATGGAACGCGGGGCAATGGCAATCGATAAGGCTCAACAATACCTACATTTAAAAAAAAGGATGCAATTCCATCCATTTATTAGCGCCCAATTGAAGAAAAACTTTGCCACACACACATACGTAAGGACGCGGTCTAAAAATTGCATTTTCGAACTTTTTGCATCATAATAGGTCGATATTACACAAAAAATTCAAAACTTATACTTGAACGATTACAATGCTCCCACTCGAAAGCAAAAATATAGATTTTTTTAATAATCGATGTTTTTTTTTCAGAAAAATCTATTCACAACATCGATGTTTTTAAAGAACACCGATTCTTCAATAATTGATCCCTATACATTACGGAGTGAAACGGGTTTTATTCCATCTGAAAAAGTCCGTTTGGATTTAGTTTGCACCCACGCAGTGCTTTCAAATGCGGCAATGAAAGGATGAATGCAGAGTCTGGATTGAATGAGTGAGAAATAAAACAGAGAAGAGAAAATAATGTGAGATCAGCCGAGTGCGATTAAAAGTCCACTCCAACCATTCAAGTTTCATTCTACGTTCAATTTTTTTCTCCGAGAGAGAATCGACCGTCGACTTTTCGGCTGGTGTGACGAAATCTCTAAAAATAGCCAGAGGTAATACATAATACAATCGCAATCCAGAGATCAGAAGGGTTTGAGAATATCAATATTCCCCCTCCCTCGTGTTGAAAAAAACTTTATACATAATGACTCGCTCTGCAGTTCCACCGGTGGAATGCATTATGTTGCTGCACTGCGATCGCTGGGCGGAGATAAAAATATTTCTTGATGCATATGCAATTAGTCCCGAGCATTTGCCAAGGGCCACTCAATTACTTCCGGCTGTGAGTCATTTCGAAGTCTGCCAAATGATAAATCGTTCATCCAATTGAATCCCGGGATTTAATTATATCCGATATTATCTCGGGCATTTATCAATAAGTGATCGCTCAGGTTTCGGTTTTTATCTTAAGTAAATATGAATATCATTTAACATTAGTCGATACATTATTATAATTTAGGGATGTGCGGGTAATTAGTCGTTACTTTCAATCCGATATTTCTCAAACCCGAAAGAACGAGTATCGAGATGGCAAAGTATTCGGTATTTTTGTAAATTTCTATTTTAGCCGCCCGAAACTAATGTTCGACTCATGATGTTCCTCAATGCAAAGTCCCAGTTTATCCTCTAAAAGCTCCAAAGGATGCGATAGAAGAAATGTTTTATTGAAAATATTTTATTAAATAAAATGTTAGATTATGATTTCATTATCCCTGTTTAACCCCGCCACTTTACCTCGTTTGATTCTGCTTGTGATTTAACTCTTATTTTTTATTTCAATGATCGATAAAAAAAAAGCTACGAGTAACGAATATTCTTCTCGTTATTTAACGAAATCTCAAAAAATTCTCGAAATTCTCTAGATATCTAAAAATTTAACAAAATCTGGGAAAATATTACGAGGAACAAATGATTCTTCTCGTTATTCAACTTTCATTTTTTATTTGAATCATCGATAAAAAAAAGTTACGAGTAATGAGAACTGATGAACGAATACTTTCTGGTATTGTGACGACTATTTTCGGGACATAAAAGTAACGAGCTTGCACATCTCTATTGTAATTGAAATTAAATCGACGGAATTATAGATCTCTATACAGTGCAGTTAACGAGAAGCTCAATTGATAAGAATTGAATTGATTAATGAATCAACAATTATTTTACCTAGTTGTTGTTTTGAAGAAATTGTTGCTCTCGCGATTCATAAGTTCGCTCCTGAATCTAGCCATCTCGTCCTCCATTTTTCTCATTTCGGCGTCGAAACGCTCGCGGATGTTGGAGAATTCGCTGTCAATGACGCTGAAGTCACCGAGTTTAATGGGAATGTTACGCTTGGTACCACTGTCAGCCATTTTCGATAATATTTATGTGAAATATTATAACTGGAACCACTTGATCTTTCACACACTCACTGACCGATTGAGTCGGCTTATAGTCTCTTTAAATAACTGATGTTTACGAGGAAAGCTCGGATGTAGGAATGAGCGGCGCACGCCGCTGACTACCCCTTAAATAGCTGCGCCGCGTACTTCAGCCGGCTCGTGGGTGTTCGCATGTTGTTCGGGATTCTCCGCCGGCACTCGGACACACTCGATACTCAACGATTCACTTTGGAATGTTCACGACTGCGCGCACGATTTCACTTTTATTTGTTTCCATTTTAAATTAATTCTTCATTCTCGGTTTATTTGTTCAAGGCATGAGAGCTAGGGCAAATTTTGAACAGCGATTAACTCATGAAGTAAAAAAAGCCTGAACTATAAATGAAGTTATGACTAATCGCATCTCAGTGATTCATATTTGGAATGTCGATCAAGCGATGCAGTCCAGTAGATCATGATCCATCATTCCTCCAAAAATGGTTGAAAGAAACTCTGTTTTTTTTCTTCGATTCACGCTATATTTTGACGAATGATGTCAAAAAGAGTGGGTGATCACATTAGACAGCAGAAATTATTGTATTTCAACGGTGTATGACTAATCCTCGGTTGTGTTTGGATTACGTGAGCCGTTGTATTTACTGGTTTTTATTGACACTAGTAAATGAAACGGACAATTCTTTGGGATGAAGCAAATCAGAGAGCAAATGGCATCAACCATCCGGTCGTTTCGTGCAATTTAAACATATCGTTTCTGCATGTGATTAGCGTGCATTCGCTAATGTATCGCAAGGACGTATCCTACATTTCAACGACCCTATGAATATTCCCGTCGGCTGGAGCTGCGGATTTTGTCGGAAATTCAATATCTGTCTACTATATTTTGTTTGTTTTATAGTTAAACAATTTTTATATGCTAGTACCATTGAAAAATTATTGAATGGATGAATCCAATTGAAATTGTATGGGAAATTCTATTCATTTTTTTGCGATTTCTATTGAAAATTCCACAGCGTTTCCGCACGATTTATTTATATACATGCAGGTAGAAAAGTCAATAGATTTTAGTTTTTTATAGAACTCATTCTCCAGAGATCAGTAGGAAAATTATAGTTCAATATGAAAAAATTGAATAGAAAACCTAGCATTATTTATTTATTGAAACATGAATCCCACAGCCGAAGTCAATATTAGAATTCGAAATACACAGAAACATATATCCATCATGGTAAAATAAATAGATTAAGAATAGTAATATTCATAAAATATTTAGTGTAACGATTACACCATATCATGGGCCTTTTATCAGCAATCACTTTTTATTACATTGAAAGGTTCTATTCATTTTTCGCACCGCTTTCTGTTGAAAATTATCTAATTTTTCCATGCATTTTTCAATCAATATTTTTTTTATGAAAAAAGATTGATTTTAAATAACATTTAGAAAAATTTATGTTTTTATTAGCTCGTTAGCGAGCCCACTCTTTGAGAATTGCATTGAATTCCCACTAGAATTATATTGAAATTCGATGAAAATTTCTGGGGAAGGATAGGGCAAAATGGACTCTCTTATTTTTTTATTTCTGAAATTCTTCGGAATTTTAGTGAACGTGTCTCTTCGCGAAAGTACTTGAGAGTGGACTCAGTATAAGATGTGCCTAAGATGGATTCATTATGTGTGTGGATTAATCCAGACGATTTTAAATTAGAGTGTGACGATTGCGCATAATGCTTAACATAAAAGAATTATTATTATTATTTGGAAATGCGTCCAATTATTGATTGATTAATTTGATAATTTTTTTATTTTTACGTATCTTTTAGATGAATGTAGGAAAGACGCGCGCTTCGCGCGCGCTAGTTAAGTTGCGTGGACCAGGATTGGGCGTGTAAATTACGTTGGTAATTTGCACCGTTCTTTACCAACGTAATTTTCATAAATTACCTCGACGTTTTTTTTTACATTTTTTACATTACTTCGAAAAGCTTGCAATTTTCGGTTACTAGAATGTTTTATTTCATTGCAACTGACGAAGACGCAGTATTGGACATATAAATGTTATAAAAAATAGTATGTTATGTCCCGAGGACAGATAAAGCGCGAATTTTAACTTCAGTTTGTTCGATTAGAATGCGGATCTCGGCACTTGGGGGTATAAAATATTATTTTATGTCCCTAGGACCGTAAAACCGCGATTTAACCAAGGAAATCGCTGTTAGAATCGCGGTTTTACGGTCTCTGGGCACGGAAACCGCGATTCTAACATCGATTCCCTCGGTTGAATCCCGGTTTCCGGGCCCAGAGTCATAAAATATTGTACGTCACACTGAGATAAAATAACTTTCTGATTCATTTCATTACAATCCTCGCCTTCGGCTCGGATTATACAGCCACATTGGTCAGAAAATATTTTCATCATCTGCTGACATAATAATAATGTACTATTACACCATGTGATACGATTTACGGAATTTTAAGAAACTCAAAAACATGAGCCTCATACCTCATAAAGAGTAAATTTCACGAGGGTCAAACGTTGCAAAAAACCAAAGTCACAAGTCATCTCCATTGTGAGAAAGTCAATTTTATTCCTTATTGAGCTTTATTGGATTCTCCACTTTATTATTTGGAGCCCCGGAAAGCCCAGTTGGACCTGAAAAGAACTATTTTGTTCTAAAGAGTTCAAAAAAGCTACTAAAGACAATTGAATTAGTTTTGTCATTCAAGAATGCTGAATGAAACAAGTTAATGTCAAGACAAAAGATGATAACGCGACGAATTCCATTGAGATCAATAAATAATAAGATTGAACCTTGTAAAATTCATCCGTTATACGGTGTGACCCTTACGAGGTGTGGCCCTCGAGACGTATGATTCTGGCGAGGTATGAACCTCGTGACTTTTATCACCCTCGCGAGGTATAACCTTCGCGACGCTTCACGGTTTACTATAAAACGTAACTTCGGCGGGTTTTTTAGATTTTTTACATTTAGATTTTTTACTCCCTGAGCAATGTAGTTTTATTCTCGTTTTTTCATTTTTTCCCTGAAATTGGTTATTCGCACGAAAACTTGAAAAATAATCGAGATAGAAACTTACAATTTAGTATGATTTTAGGTTTCATGGTAAAAAAGTTTGGGATGCTGAATGAACGAAATCTTGTGGTCAATATCTCAAAAACTATTTGTCCGATTTCATTTTTTTTTCTTTCCAAACGTGCGTTTTCATGCCATTTATCTACATCCAATAAAATATGGGTACCATCCCATTGAAATTTTCCGAGATATCGTCGTTTTTGTATTTTTTGCTCGGAGTTCACTTTTACGCACTATGACATGGGTAAAAGTCAGGGAAACATTTTAAAACTTTGGTTTCTAATTAGGACTGTCAAGGAACATTCCTATATCAAATTTTAGGTCTATGCATTTGATAGTTCTTGAGATGAAATAATTCACCCAAAATTTTTGAGAAAAAAAAATAACGCATCTATATTTCAACATCCATTTTCACAGCACGATTATTGAGGAAGCCATATAACATGAATATTGTTGAATGAAATTGCAAGTTTATTTGATAGAAATAGGGGAAAATGAGTGCGATTGGCCTTAATATTTTCAAAAAATGGGAATTCGTATGCCTTAATTTTTTGAAAACATACATTGGGATCCATTGGGAAGCCTACTCAATGAAATTCGGTAGAAATGAAAATAGGAGAAATATACGTGGAGAGTAGCAGTCATATATAATCTATCAAATGGCTTCTGTCGCACTGCCTGTTTATCTAACTCATTCAATAGTAATATATTTTTCACTCTAAAAATAATCATTTCTGAATTGTAATGAATTTTTCCCCTTTCAGAATTTCACCAAAATTTAATTGGATTCCTAAAAATATTCTTTTGAAAGTTTGAGCCATTTCCATTATTCATTCCTAAGAATGTCGAAAAAAAGCAATTATTTGCAGAATCTCGTTCGAAAGACGCTGATTATCCATGCTTTATTTTCGAATTTTTCCTAGCCAATTCGATGAAAAAATTGGACCACTGAAAATTTGTAAATAAAAAGTATTTCGACGTTTTTATTTTACGGTTAAAATTTAAAATTCATTGATTTTGGGATATACCTAAGGCTTGGTTTCATTAAACATGACCTCGAAAAACAAAAAATGACTTGGAAAAACAGGAGATAAATTTTGTTAATTCCACCCTTCGCATTCAAGTTAATTTAATTATCAATCACTCCAATTAGTTTGTCAGTTCTTAGCATTTATCACTGACAAATAACTTTTGATTCAACTCATTATAATCAAATACATGTGTAGGAAACATGCTCTAATGTACTTTATGCTTGCACGGTGTTTGTTTCTTATTTGGGGCTAGAAGTTCGCTTTTAAATTCGCGCGCATTTTCTTGAAAAATTGAGGTATCATCTTTTATACTGCCATCTTCCGGTATTTCTCCGTAATCTTGTACTAATCAGCTGATGTGATGCCCGGTTCTATTCGATTAATCGAAATCGAATGCAAAATAATCGATTATCCCCATGAGATCCGCCATGTTCGATTAGTGACCCATGTCTTTTTTAATATAGGATAGAACAACCCAAGCAAACGTTAATTTAGAAAAAAAAACATGAAAATTCGATTTTTCACTGAAAACTCCCATAATCAATGAAAATTGGCCATATTCAAATGATTCAGGGGTCAATTTGAAGATAATCTAATATATTTTCACCTGAACATACAATATCTCTACATATTTGAACAAAAACTGATCAAATCTCATCATTAAAAGGAAAAGCATGGAATTTTTCAAAACGTGACATGCTAAAATTGCTACATTAACGTTCATAACAATTCTAGTGGATGGGCAAAAACTACCATTTTTGGCCTGTGACATAACGTGAAAAATGGAAACAATCTGCTATAACTCGATGAAAATTACATTGGATCAGAATTACCATGCACCATTTTGAAGAATAGTAAATGCCTTTCAAAATGATATATAGATATATCCGCCTGGTCCACGTAGGAGCATCGAAAAGTCCAGCCAAAATTAATTTTTCAAGTTGAACATGAAATTGGAATTTTCACCTAAAACTCTCATAAATCAATGAAAAATTG